CAGTCAAATACAGAGGTAACGGAGATCTGGCAGAGACCTGCCTCGTCCATATGACGCACATGCAACTCCAAGTAGCAAAGGTTGGGGAGAAGTGTAGGATCTATGAATGATGGCACACAAGGGAACCAGATGCTTTGTATATGCAGAAGCCTAAGATGTTCCGGAAGCACGGCTTTGTCCCCCTCCATTCAGGTAGGGCTACTTTCACGGAACTGAAAAACATGCAGATGCAGATGCTGGAGGTCCTGCAGATTGCCTAGTGACTTCAAAAGTTCTGCCTGCATGCTCTCATCTAGCTTGCCCATGCCAAACCCACGGAGCACCATCAGTAGGCTCTGGTTGCCCAGCTCCTTCAAAAATTGCCTCTTGGACTCAAAAGACAACATGTCAACACGTAACTGTAGCTCCTCCAGTGACGTCACCTTTTGGAGGAACCCATCCGGCACCCTCGTCTCACCGTCACACCGTAGGCAGACCAACCGCATTAGCTGGATAACGCTCGATGGCAGTTGAACTTGCATACCACAGTCCGATACCTTCCAAGTCCAGTGTCCTGTAGAAGCTTTAGAGCTCCTATCGCCTCCGGGAGCTCCCTGAACTTTGTACCTCGTAGTCCAAGGTACCTCAGATGAACTAGTTTCCCAAGATGCTCGAGCCAGCGCTTGTCATACTCATCATTATCAGATGATGTGCACCACTCTAAAGCTAGCACACGTAAGAGTTTAAAGCTCGGATGCAAGACAAGACCACGGATATCACACCCATGGGCAACCAATGACCTCAGTTGTGTCATGTCCTTATGACCGTCAGTGGTGTTCCTGGGCCATCAAGGCCCGGCTTGCTAAAATGACTTCACATGTTCACGGTCATTGATGGTGCGGACGGTGGTGTGATAATTGTGAGACCTGTGCTCATGTAGTACTTAGGAGATTTCTCCTTGATTGAATTTCCGAGATCATTGGCGTGAAACTTGGTCAGCTTCCCAATTATATATATGCGCTTGAACTCGAGCGCTTTGTCATGACTACATAAAATCATTTGCGGGTACCAAACCCGAATGAGTTTCCTAGCCGAACCTGTATCTCGGATGGGCCGAGAATATTGGGCAACAATTAGCCGAGCAACATTCCCCTCAAAAAAAATTAGCCGAGCAACATTATGGAACTAGCTTGTGACTTGTGCAGATGTGCACTTTGCACGTACAAGCTTGCATGGTACACTGGTGCTTGTATATACTGTACATGTATACGCTTGTTCGCACTTAGCTAGCTTCTGGTGCTTGTACACTGGTGGTGTTCCTGGGCCATCAAGGCCCGGCTTGCTAAGATGAAGAGGAGTTGCCGGGCCACGCCGCTCCGTCGCCGCGGTGGCCATGCTTGCCATTCCGGCGGCGACGGCGTGGAGAGGAACGTGTGCACAGCAGGGCGGCGGCGTGTTGGTGATTGCCAGTTTGTTGAGCACGTGTTTAGTTCCACCCCAAAATCCCAAAAAGTGCTACAGTACCCATCACATCGAATGTTTGTGGCCCGTGCATGGAGCATTAAATATAGACGAAAAAAAAACTAATTGCACAGTTTGATGGGAAATTGCGAGATGAACGTTTTGATCATAGTTAGTCCACAGTTGAACACTAATTGTCATATAAAAACGAAAGTGCTACAGTAGCCCAAATTCCCAAATTCACCCAACTAAACACGCGCTGAGAGAGGGAGAAGGTTGGCCTCCTTTTATAGGCCAGCGCTAGCTAGGGTAGGGCAGGCTTGCGGCGGTGCCATCGATCTGTTGCGCAGGAGCGTCCGTCGGCGCGCGCGGCGAGTTCGATTTCAAATTTCAAACGGAAGTTGATGGGCCCAGCAACTTGAAGATCCCCACAGCACATACGCACAAACACTAGATAAAAGCATATATATATATATATATATATTGGTGTGCACAGCAGGGCGGCGGCGTTTCGGCCCTGCATGCTAGCGCAAACCGGGCAGAATAATATACAATTCTTATGCCACAATGACTGTGCATTTGTACACGTCTTTGTACACGTATACGCCGGGCAATAGGCTTAATTAGCAACACGCTAATTATTTTACCCAAAAGATCTAGGCCTAGAAGTAGAGATGAAAACGGTGGGAAAACCTCTCAACCGTTTTCTACTTCTACATTTGAATACGAAAATGAAAACGAAAGCGGTAAAGCCGGACACGAACTTATGGAATATCAAGAATTTCGAAAACGAGCTAATTCGAGCAGAATTATGTCGAACACGGTCGGTATACGAAAAATCAATACGGAATATTGACCCGTAGGATCAAGTGCATAACAATTAACAAGTGCATAACCAAGTGAATAACAATTAACAAGTCCAGAACTTCCATAAAAAGTATCTCCATTCCACCATTTGACACTATATAAGAAAGATATGATTTTTCTAAGGCAACAAGCGCGTGTACGCGATTAATATACTGTAAAAGCTTTGTTTAATTTTTTTAACATCTTAAAGACCTCAAATGAAGAAACTAAAAACTATAAAGTTGTAGATCTCGTCGAGAGCTACAATTTTCATATAAAAATCATCTTCATCCGAGAACGTATGAAAAAGATACAATTTTTCTAAGGCTGTACATTTAGGGGGCTAAATTCGGTTTAAATCGAATTTCTAATTCAGGATATTCCGATTTACAAGTAGAAAAATAGAAAACGGTCAGAAAACGGCTAAACCGTCTTTGTTCTGATTTCGAATTTGATGTTTTGAATTTCGAACCGAATTCGAATTTGTCCGAAAATATGAATTCGATCAGATCAAATATAGAAAATGACGTGGTTCGGTACGGGATATTTCGGTACCGTTTTCATCCCTACCTAGATGTCTGAGCAAGCCACACGTGAGAGAGAACACTTGGATGGGCCATGCATGAGCCCAATATTGTTAATTAGCCATTGTGCTAATTGATGGTTACTAGGCAACTCGTTCATCTTTAAGGCCCAAATGTTTATATAGCCCATATTTTGTAGGCATCACGTAACTGTCAAATTATTTTATAGGCCTCATTCGACTCATGCTGAATAGTCTATGTAATAATATTACAACATGCCAAAATTCCATCATACAGTGGGTTCAAGGGAGGCCAGGTGGGTGGCGCGGCGAGGCGGCGGGAGTGGGGGCCGGGGCAGGGGCCAAGGCGAGGACGACGCTGGTGGAGCCATCGCACTGGAGGTTAGGGGAGGCTAGGGTTGAGGGGTGGGGGCGGGGCAAGGACAAGCGCAAGCGTGAGGAGGAAGACAACGGTCGCAGGGTGGAGTTGGGTCGCACGTGCTCCCGGAGCGCGTGACCAGTGGCGCTTTATCGCGGTCCTTCTCTAGGACCTCAAAACTACATTCAAACTTTGGTAGAGTGAATACAAGGGAGTTATTTCTGCCTTTTCGTCAGAAGTGACTTTGGGGTAAATTGGTGAGGGAGTAACGCGCGAGGGAAACTACACTTGTGCATATATGGCATAGAAATGGATTAATTGTGAAAAAACACATGTAACTGCCCAAATTAAAATAAATTCCATGACACGAGAGCCGTGACAACGTTCGTCACTACAATTTAAATACATCAATAATACAGTAGCCAAGATCATAGCAACGAAGTGAATGAAAGTGCTAGCTTCACCAGTTGGAGAAATTCCGCAAAGCAAACTGGACCCCCGATGGAGCTCTTGAAGATGGGCAGGCATGCATGCATGCGGAGGCACACGAAAACCAAATTTAAGCCTCATTTAACATAAACACACACATATCATTTATGTTCCAAACATACTTGCAGGTACGCCAACAGTAGGTGCTAGAGCGAAATCTAATATACTAAACAACAGGCATGATCGTCGTCGATCAACATTATTAGAGGCCGGTTTAAAGCACGCAAAGGTCCATCAAGAGCACACAGAGATATGTGACCGTGTAGTAGACTGACACCAGCTCCATGCATGCGGCAATATAGGGGACAGCAGACAGGAGTACCAAAATGCTCCCAACGTCCTGAGATCCACCAACTTAAGTCGCAAACTCCTCCCATGGAGGATCAAGAGGCAAAAGGCTGAGTCTCCGAAGACTGAAATAAAAATCGTAAGGAAAAATAATTTTGATTAGCATTATCAGTCTAGCATTGATGATTCATGAAGGTCAATGGAATTGATTGATGAAGTCGGCTAAAACAATCAACAACAGACTACGGTACTTCGAAGTGTGTGTGAACCGTTGATCTAATTGTAAATTATTACATATTACCTGTTCTTATAAGAGGTGATAGAAGAAACACAGAATAAATAGAGAAAACGTCTACTTATTAGATAGATCTAATATACATGCACGCATGATCTAACTTTGGTATTTGATGCAATAATGTGACATGTGGATGAGATATAAAGTATCTTGCTTTACTAACATGTTCTTTTCTTGTAACTTGACAAATAAAGATCAAGAGTGATATACCTGTAAAATTAATTTTTTAAATGTGGAACAACTAACGTTATCCGTAATGATCTTTTCAACATGGGTAGATCCATTTTTAACAGCAAAATCATGTTGATGGTATACGTGATTTATTTGTCACTAGCCATAGCACAACACTTTTAAAACCAACATCATGTTAAAATTAATGTTCTTGCGTACTCAAACATATAGTCCGTACATGACAACAATAACAAGTATATACTTAGCTGTATCTATTTTCTTAGGAAAGTGATAATAATTACTTCATATGTATAGCACAGGCAGATGAAATTAAACAAGGAAGCTAGGACGCCCTGGACGAAATTTAATTGTCCTACTAATTCTAAAAATCAAGGGCTATGATTTTCTGGGCATATTGTTACTATAATAATAATATAGTAATGGAGAAGTAGTACATGTTAGTGCCTTAGTGGAATGGGGAATGGAATGTGGTTATTAAACAAGTTAGGCAGCTGGTACGTACCTCTTCATCGTCGCTGTGTACTGTTTGTGCCACCATAAGTACTTCACTAAACTTTATATACATCGACGGTGAGTGCGGAACTATTGGGATGGAGTTCTGCTTGGCGACTGAGCTCTGCCTCTGCCTTGTCCATGTCATCAGGGAAGGCATCCAAACTGTCGAGACCTGCCTCGACATAGCGTAGCGAAGGGAGGCACTCCAAGTCCAAGCCGAAATTGTCACTTCGGGTAGCGTGCCCATCCTTGTAGAAGAGACTGACTGGGACAGCGAACTCAAGCGCGTGGAGGTTTGGCATCACAACAACAGGGGCCGGTGCTACTCTGCTGCGGCCCCTGTCCTCTGCTTTGGAATCAAATAACATAGCAGCATCCTGTTCTTCCCTCCAGATGCTAAATGAAGCACTAGTCGAGTCATCGTTGGTCGCCAGCAGGACCATCCAGCGACACAACTTGAGGCTTCTCAATTTGTGGAAGAAGACATCATGGGCAGCAATATTAACTACCGTAGCATGCTTATGAGAAGACCAATTGTAATCCGCGGCGCCAAAAAGGAGGAAACGGAGTTCTGGCAGCCCACCCAAGGCTCTCAGACCTGCCTCGTCCACATGACCCACACACAACTTCAAGTAGCAAAGGTTGGGGAGAAGCGTGGGATCTATGAATGATGGCACACAAGGGAACTGGATGTTTTCTATATGCAGATGCCTGAGATGTTCCGAAAGCACGGCTTTGTCCCACTCTGTTGAGGCAGGGGTAATTCCTGTGTCCGGATCATCACAATCCAGATACAGATGCTGGAGCTCTTGCAGATTGCCTAGTGACTTCAAAAGTACTGCCTGCAAGCTCTCATCCTGCATGAAAATATCAGACACAGAGAGCACCCTCAGTTGGCTCAGGTTGCCCAGCTCCTTCAAAAATTGCTTCAGGGAGTCAAAAAGCAGCATGCAAACACTTATCCGTAGCTCTCTAGTGACGTCAACTTCTGGAGGAGCCCATCGGGCACCATCGTGTATTCGTCACTTCTTATGCAGACCAACCGTGTTAGCAGGCTAACGCTCGATGGCAGTTGGACTTGCATACCATGTCCTCTGACTCTCATACCTCCCAAGTCTAGTGTCTGTAGAAGATTTAGAGCTCCTATCGCCTCCGGGAGCTCTTGGACACATGTACCTCGTAGCCCTAGGTACCTCAGATGAACTAGTTTCCCAAGATGCTCAAGCCAGTGCCTGCCATACTCCTGAATATTAGGTGGTGTGCACCTCTCTAATGCTAGCACACGTAAGAGTTTAATGCTCGGATGCAAGACAACACCACGGATATCACACCCAAGGGCAACCAATGACCTCAATTGTGTCATGTCCCTATGACTGTCAGGATGAGATTGATCCAGCAATATTCTGTTCTGGTGTGCTATCCGGCGCACCTTGTGTCGTGAAGATGTTCCTCCATCCTCATTTGAGATAGTGATGAAGTTTTCTTCGCCTGCCAGACCACGAATAAGATCAAGGACCATGTCATGAACACGGCAGCATCTATCGTCTATACTATACTATACTGTACAAAGGAGAAGAAGAGCGGCACTACATCTGTACTATACGAGTATTGAATATGGGTGATGTCTCACTTTTATTTAGTCTTTGAAAATTACATACTAGTGGTACTTTATAGATTTTTAGACAGGATGAAAATCCGGATTCCTCTACTCAAGGTCGAATCTGACAGTGGTACTTTATAACTTTGTATTATCAAATATAAATTGCCTAGCAAAAAAAAGGAGTATTGTGCCACAACTGCAGCTTTGATTCATAATAAAAAAACAAACATCTTAGATTTGTTTATCAAATATAAATTCCCTAGCAAGAAGAAGTATTAATTGTACCACAACTGCATCATCGATACATAATGAGAAAGAAACATCTTCAAATTAAATGGTAAACGTACGTATGCTCCCCAATAGTATGCACACAGCACAAGCAGTGTAGCAGATATATATATACATATAATCATAAATTGAAACAGAGAAACTATAGGTAATCTGGTGACAACTGATTAATGCATACCTCTTGTTTTCAAGGAATTTTCGGAGTTCGCCAATGAGCAGTTGTAGGTCCTTTACATCACGAATGGCCTGGTACATATTTTGGTCGAGACCAAAGAAGATGCTGATGAAGACTTGCACCAGGTCAGGATTGCGGCCAACCGAAACAAAGGCTCGACAATCATATCCCGGACTCAGCTCGTCGTACACCACCTTGGCAAGAGTGGTCTTGCCCAGACCACCAGCTGCCACCACAGAAACTATCTTGGTCGGGTTGTTGCTGCTGGAGGCACCAGCATCTCCATGGCCGTGGGTCGATGACTGAAGCATGGCTATGAGCTCGGCCCTCGTCCTCTGGATGCCGATAATCTGTGCTGCCTCTTTGTGCATGTCCACAAGGCGAGGATCCAGTTTGGTGGCCGGCGCAGCCACTGCAACGGGTATGGAGTACCTGTCGCGGCGGTCCCACACCTCCTGGAGTCGTTTCTTCATGTCCTCGATCGCGCCGGCGATGTCGTGGCGTGCCTTTCTTTCCTTCAACAACTTGGCCATCTTCTTGAGACGTTTAAGCAAGCCTTTCTTGTTTTTAGTCTCAGCAGGGGCGGCCCCCTCCACGACATCGACGAGGAAGGCGTCGAGGATGTCCTCCATGTCATAGGACGCCTCTCTGACGTCGCCAGCCCACAGCCGGACCTGTCGATCCAGATGCTGTGGCGGCGTCTCGCCCACCTTGCAGAGAGCCGTGTGCGCACTCTCGAGCTCATTTTTCAGATACTCGATTTGCTCCGGCAGGCCCTTCTGCAGCTTGTACTCCCCGTGCAGGAGCTGGCCGAGCTTGGTGACGATGCTGCCCACTGCCCCAGCCACAAGATCCATGTCGACGGCAGGATGGAAGATTGGTGACGTTGAAGACCAAGAGAGATTCCGCACATGCGGAAGCTAGGGGGAAGAAGCTCGGTGGCGGCAGCGGATTTCGGAACTCGGCACACGCGGGGAGGAGGACCCCGGCAGCGGAGCACGAAGCGCGGAGTCGGCGACGCGTGGTGAGGAGTCCAGCCTCCAGCGGCCGCGCGCGGGGAAGGAGCTCCGCGGCGGCGTCGGATCTCGGAAGCAGCACCGCGCGGGAAGAGGAGCCCGGCGACAGTGGACGATCTCGGTGGCGGCGGCGCCCGGGAGGAGAAGCCCAGCGGCGGCGCCAGTGCCTCTCAAGCGAGCGGAGGGGCGAGCGTTAGCGAGAGGAGTATCTTTGTGTCTTCTAATTGGCGTCTTTGTTTCTATAATACTCACTGTTGAGAGCATCTTTGTGTCTGCAAATTGGCATCTTTAATGAACTAGGCATATGTGTAATAATACTCAACTTCAATTTGGCACTATTAAATTGTAAAGCATCTTCGTTTTAAATGTACGTATTTTTTAAAGAATTAAATGTACGTATTACTATCTTGCAAAGTTTTGCTTAGAGTCTTAGAAATCACCAAGGCAGGGCTTGCTCGTCTCTCGCTGATAATAACGCATTCACTTGCAGCTGGCACTGCAACGTTTCTGATGTGATGGATACGATCATGTGCGCGCATCGATCGGCGCATGTGGCTTTGCCTTTAAGTGTGGATCTTTGTCATCGTTTGCAGTGTACCAAGCCATGTGGTCGAGTTTTGTAGTTTACGCTTCACGAGTGTGGACGGTGTACTCACCTGGCCGGCAACACGCACACATCTCTACGTATTGCCGTTGTGTTTATTATTAGCAGTGTACCAACGTTCCATAGGTAAGGTTAAACTATTCGGGAAAAAGGATTATACAATATAAATTAATGTGAACCCATGTTCATCCCAACAGATTCGTTTCCCTACCAAGTCGTCATTCAAATGAACTAGCTACTTTGGACGATCATGCTTGCACGCCGGTAAAGCTATCGATTCCCGTACATAGCATAATTAACCTTTTTGTACCAGTATATACATGTGCCTGTGGCTTGATATTTTCATTGTGGGGTTTCAGTCCGGCTGAGTATATCTACTACGGCCGTATTGTCCAGGAAATGTTTGGGTGTTGTGCTGAGCCAGCTGGGCTGTTTTGGTTTGGGCCGGCTGGGTCTTCTGAAAAAGGTGTTCCGTGGGATGCGTCTACCGTGTAAAGGCGGGTTTGCATACACATAAATAGTTATTAGCAGGGCTAAAAAATTAGTCCAAATTAGCTATGCTTTGCTACCTAGTTGGCTAGCAACTAGTTAAAGAATCCTACTATTACTAATTGGAGGCTCTAATGGAGCCTCCAGGTTAATTCTCACTAGACGCGCTACACTACTACACATGATTTGTAGGGCCGTCTCCTGGCAATTTCTATGTGTCGGACTGTCTTGCTCTGGCAATATCCAGCAACGTGATCGTGTAGACGGAATCGCATGGTAGCACATGAGACATAGAGATTTATACTGGTTCGGGGAGTGGTGTGCGCTAATCCCTACTCTAGTGGTGCGCCTGCTCTTGTCTTAGTATGCTTATTTACAGGGCTGTTACTCCTAGCGACGATGTAGATGGAATAGGTGGAAGATGGATCCCATGTCCGAGCTCCCTACCCTCCTTTATATAGGCAGGAGAGGTAGGGTTACAGAGAGGCCGATCGGGCTAAAAGATTGTGTTCCTAGTTTGTTACAACAGATTGATCCTAGCTATCATCCAGAGAGGGCGATTGTGCCTTGGTTTGCCTTGATCTCCACGTTGGTTGATCGAGTCAGCCCTTGCGGGCCTCCCCTTGACGGCTGCTGGACTGATACCTTGGTGGTGGTCATATATACGGGCGGCGCAGCTACCCTTGGCCCCTGTCTCTGACAGTAGCCCCTGTAGGACTTAATGATAAGCTAGCACGAATCTTCAAGCCCTAGGAACGTCTCAGTCTCCCCTGTAGGTTCTGAGTACTGTGAGTATATAGTGAGCATCTTCGGGTGCCGAAGTTTCAAGCAATGCAGCTAGATATTCCCAAGTATTGGGGAGCCTGTATGTTGCCGCTCGAGTACCAAGAGCATTTTTGGGTAGCGAGAATCTTCTTCAAGCATCGAGTGAGGCGGTGGTGCACTGTACATCAAGTAACGTCGTTCCCTGGCAGCTGTAAGTGCCTTGCTCGGGTGGTGCACCACATATCGAGAAACGTAGTTTCCTGGACATGGCCCTCGGGCCGTTGTTAACGTCGCGTTCGGGTAGTGTACTCGATAACCAGAAGCGTAGCCTCTAGGACATCGTAGATGCCATGCTAGGGTAAAAATACTGCTGTACTCGAGAGTAGGTTCCCGACGTATTCCGATGTGTAATTAGTGGTTGTGCATCATTAAGTCCTAGCCATAAAACAATAATGAGGATGGGATAGGTGCACCACGTTCGCCCGCGCGTCACTAAGCCAGTTGATTTTTAAGGTGACCTATTGCAGGTCGTTTGTTAACGAGCACTAAGGGCGTCACGTTTTTCTTCGAGATCCGTCAGGTAACATGATTCAAATTTTCGTGAGCCTCATTAGTGGAAGAGCGAGGACGTTTTCTCGGAGCCCTGAGGCCATTATAACAGCGTCCTGGGCTGGGCACCACTGTGGGCGAGTAACGAACGCGTGAGTAGCTGTTGGCAGTTACGCTTATTACTTTTCGAGCCGGTAACGGGTAGAACGAGTGAACGTCCGCTATCACTGAAAGGAAGCGGCAGGACAAAGCCTGACCAGCGGGGGCACGTCATAAAACTCTTTTTCCAGATTGCAGGAGCTCATACTTTGGTTACAACCATGGGCCAACCAGTTTCTGGTTTCCACAAAGAGGCACACGTCCGCTGAAATAGGGTACTTCGAGCTCTTCCGGGTATTGAGGGATTTATGTGACACTGAGTGCCAGAGCTTTTTGGATCATACTGGGGACCCCCAAGATACCTCCCTGACTCTAGTAGGGGTAGGGTCGATAGTGAACGAGTCACTACCGCTTACACCTGCTGTATGGGTGAGCCGGGCCAAGTACGCGATCTGAGTGTCAGATCACTCGCCTACACCGGCTCGGGTGAGGGTATATTGAGAACGAACCGCTAGGATCCGTGGGTGAGTTTGCTTACCGGGAGCCAGAGCGTCAGTGTTTGTGGCTCGTTTTCCCACGCACAAGAGTGCATGGTTTTGAAAATGTATTTCCAAAACTCTGCAGCAAAACCAACCATATGCATTTTGTGTGCCTCGTAGAAATTTAGTTGTAGCATTTTGTGTGCCTCGTAGAAATTTAATTGTAGCGCTAGGAATAATTTATGGGATTAGAGAAATCGCTTGGCATTTAAATTCCATTGCCTGCACTTTGTGAATATTTGAATGATTGTTGAATGCCAGCTTGATTTCTTGTGTGCTTTTTCTGGAATTTATTTGCGGCACCAAAACAACCTCACTTAATTTCCAATTGCATTCTTAATGTATTTAAAACCTTTTCTTATATTATAGAGTTAGATAATACATCATGGTTATAAATAATATCTTATTCGCTAGGAATCATGCTAGCCGTCGCATTGATAATTTATAGGTCTAATTATTCCTTCAAATTTTCCCTCATAATTTTACATTTAGCAAAATTATAGTTATTAGAAAAACCTAGAAAAAAATAATATCGTTACTTTTAATTTCTATAGAATAGATATAATATTTAGTTATTCTAAAATTTATATAGTACATCATGCACACAAGTATATTAGTATTGTTACATACTCTAAATTTCTGGGAATTAGAAAATATGAAGCATTCCTGTGTACTCCCTCCCGAACGGGCTCAGCCCAACCAGCCCTGGCCCCCCTGCCAGGCCTTTGGCCCAGCCCGCGCGTGCCTTTCCCCTCTTCCCTCCGCTTGGGCCGGCCGAACAAGGCCGCGGCCCAGCAGCCCTCTTCCCTTCCCTCCTCTCGCCGACGTATGGGGCCCAGCCGTCAGCATCGTCTTCCCCAGGAAGTCAGCGATGCACTGTACTCAGGACGCCGCCACCGCTGACCTCCCGTCGCGTCCCACCGACTTCCAGCTCAAGCCACCCCGCCCCAGCTATCACCTTGCCGTGCTCCGCTGGCCACAGCGCCGCTGCCGCTGTCGCCTGCCACCCTTGCCGGCAAAGATCGCCGTGGTCGAAAAATATCGGCCGCCGCGCATCGTCCTGCCGCGCCTATAAAAGGGGGCCAACGGAGCTCGCCATCCTCGCCCCGAGCTTGAGCTCCTCCTCTCCCACTCCACCTCCATTCTCCTCTCCCTCTCCCCATCTCTGCTCTGCTCCACACCGCCGCCGCGGCCCTGCTCTGTACCTCCGCCCGAGGCAGAGAGCCGCGCTCGCCTCTGCCTGATGGAGCCGTGAGCGGCCAAGCACCCTCGCCGGCGTCCTGCTTTGCTTTCCCTCTACCTCCTCCTCTTCTATGCTTCCTGCTCTGGCACCGCTGCTCACCCCGTGCTTCTTCCTCGCTGGAGCCAAGGCCGCTACCGCCCTTCCGCCGTCTCGCCGCTGCCCTGCTCCCTCTCGCTCGCTCTGCCCCACGGCGCGACACCGCAGCTGCCACCCTACCTCCACCGCACTAAAGCGCCGCCGCCGCTGGAGCCCAGCCCCCGCCGGCGTCCTGTTTCTCCTCTCTCCCTCTTCCCTTTCCCTCCTCTCCCCTCCCTTATCCTTCCTCGATTTCTTCTGTTTCAGCCGTCTGTATGATGTTTATTTTAAAAAAAAAAAAAAAAAAAATCCCGCCGTACTGTAGGAGATAGAGGAGGGTAGGGAGGCTCTACGGCGGACCTAGCGTCAGCAAATTTAATCCCGTACAGGGAAGGGCGGAAGGCAAGGTCTGACAACATGGTCCCGGTGGAGGCGACATGGAAGACCATGGTCCCGGCGGCAGCTGCGCCAATCCCCATTGGTCACGCGGCCACGACCCAACAGCGGCGGCGTCTTCCTCCATGGCCGCATCTGGTACCTCGCGTTGATGACACGAGCGTTGCTTCCAATGGAAACACCATCAGATTTTTTTTTTTTGTTCTACTTTGCGTAGATCGTAGATGGCGGGGACTGGAACAAGATGTATAGGTATCTCAGTTACCTATTTTTCTTATCTGTTTTCATGCCGAATAGAGATAAAAATGTCATTTCCATTTACTGAATGACTGAATCCCTATTTTCTATAGCTTACTATATGACTGAATGCACCATGTATTGAATGATCTATTTTGTATCAATTAGCAATATAATGGTATATAGAAATGATATTCATGATTGATCATGGTTACATGCAAGCATTAAATAACTTGTAGACAGTCAAGTAGCTGTCTATTAAGGTGTCTGTGTTGTGAAATCCAACAACTTGCAGACAGAGCTGTTTGGGCTTGTCTTTTCTAGCTTGTGTAAGGTCACTACTAACTAACTATCTAGGCACAGAGAACGAACCGTTTATCAGGGTCATTGTCTTCTTGTCTTCATCTTAATCTTCAAATTTCCACTCTTAAGCCTCAAATCCTAAACTCTTCTCCGCTTCTTATCAGTTTGTTTGCCACAAGCTTCTTGTTTTGATTTCTTGCAAAAAATCATAACTTCTTCACCCACCAAAATATAGGTTGCAGTTCCTTACATTAAATTTGTCCTCAGAAGCAAAGACACAATTGTGGCATATGGGTCGTCAAGAAGTGATGTATGAAACTTGTGAGAGAACATCATAACCAAGATCCGTGAGCTCATTCATGATGACATACATCCAGTTGAACACATTGGAAACACTTTCATCTTTTTCATAGCAAATTGATCAAACTTGTCCGTGTACCATGGTTGTTCCCTCATGAATTTCCATATACTTCTTCCAAACATCATTTGTTGTGATACTCTTGATTCAATTGAACTTAACTACATTGCCTCATACGACATATTTATCCATAGCTTGATCATTCTGGAGCATATTTTCTATATATGTGTAAAATCCTTTCTACTCCTAGGTGTAGCTACTTCCATGCATGTATTGCAAGATTTAAAGTGTATATGGCTTGACGAAGCATATGTATATAGGAGTATGTGATCATACTAGACCATCATCGATTATGTGGTAATACTTATTTTTATGTACTAATATAATAGTATTATAATAATATACTAAAAAATTTGGCTTGTTTGATTTTTTTTTCATGTAGTAGAATTTAGAGTAAGTTAAAATAAGTATAAACAGTGTAGCTACTCCCTTCATCCCATAATTAATAGCTTTATGAGGTAGTGTCCCATCTTTAATATACCACCTTGCGTATAGGCGCAAACTCATTTATAACTTGATACCATCATCGATGACTAAGAGAATTTATTATGTCTAAACTACTCCCTTCGTCCCATAATTAATAACTTTACGAGGTTTAAAAATTTTCTCAGAAAACAACATTCTACAAAAAACATGGGACACAGTCTTGTAATACAAATGCTAATCATAGGTACATGCAAATGATAACCGCCAAATCTAAGAGATATCGTTCAGGAAAGGTAGATGAGAATATAACTAGCGTCTTTATTCTGTTTGAAAATTTCATGAAAGTTATTTATTTTGGGTTGAATGGAGTATAATAAAAAAGTGTTTTTATATATTTCAAACATTTATTGATAACCTTTCATATATATCTATATTAAGTATCAATGTTATGACATATTAATATTAAGGTGTCTCGACTTTAAGTCCCGCTTTAGACCCTAGAAAAACGAGGACCTACAATGTCCACTAGTTGGCTCGTTCTCGATGAAAGAGTTAAAGAAGGCCAAATTTGTTTTTATATATAATTAATCTTTTTGCACAAGAAATTGTTAAAAAAAATGGCTGTATTCGGCTACAGTATTCGGTTACTGATTGTACAGTAGCCTGTGAGACTTGGCTGCAGCAGCCGTAGTAGTGCTGCTGGAGAGAAGTGCTACCGAACAGGTCTAATATTGATATAATGTTCAGATGTCTATAGTAGATCTGTGCATCAAATTAATTATTTAGTAAAAGTAAACAAAAATATTATAAACTATAAAATTATGGAGCTCTTAGGTAGGAGTATGTACAATATCTTAAAAGTAGCCAATGAGTTGCCAAAGTCCTAGGAGGACAAGCATGATCTAGACCCACCTTTAATTATTGCTCTCCAGTCATGCACTGTCCACATCGGAATTGGCATCCCCTGCCAAATTGCACTGTTGTGCTGGCCGGAAGCGCGACTTTTCATATGTATGCACCAATGGCTATCCTAAGGGCGTCTCCATCGGATGACTCCGAGCTATCTGACAGCCTACCTACAGTTGAGAGAAGAATGAATCTCCGCTACCGACGAGTTCAGCGCCAGTGTCACACAGTTCCTGTAAAAAGTTTGGCCTCTTCTTTGTCTGTGCCCACCTCACGGCTACCTTGTTTTTCTTTTTTTTTACTTGGCTCCATGCCATATCAGCCGGCGATTTCAGGAGCTCATCGATCGGGGACGCCCTAAGGGTGTCCTTAATGTGTAGCTCTGGACTAGCTACTCTCTTATGTGGATAAGAGACAAGTATGAAGCTCGATCGTCTGTAGCAAGGAACATGTTGCTTTGCTCGCACAGTTTGCCATGAAACGTTTGTCTCTGCCTTTCGGACCCACATTCATACGCTATGCCGCAAGCAAATTTTTTATTGTTACAGAAAGCCGCAATTGTAAATTGATTTAAGTGGTGGTTTTCTTAGGAAAGCTGTTACTGTAAATATTTACATCGAGGGTTCTTAGCTGACTCTAGTGAACAATGGAGCCAACAAGTGGAATCGTGATGATCTCTGAGAATTTGTACAGGTTACAGGTAGTGGAACTGCCAGCGCTCGAGGCGTGTCTGCCGAGTGCACGCACGATGTGGGCGACGTCGTGGGTGGCTTGTGGACTCCGCAGCGCGGGAAACCTCATCTAAGCTATTCAAAACTCAAATACAAATTACACTTTATCACCCCCCGCAGTCTGAAGTATCATCGGCATGACACAAAGACTGTCCCGAAAGGCTTCAAATGTCTAGGAGAGGTAGAAGCCGTCAGCCTTGCGCGGAACGTCGATGCCGAGGAAGAAGCATTGTTCACCCATGTCCTTGACGGCGAACTCGTTGCACAGCTCGGTGACGACGAATTGGAGCAGCGAAGAGAGCAGCGCAGTGATGACCATACCATCGACGTAGAGAAGGAGGTAGGTGATGTCGTGACCTCGGCGCAGCACGAAGAAGGAAGAGTCCGACCTGGTAGCCTTGAAGCCCAGCTTGACGGCGAAATTGGTGAACCGTGTGAACCATGCGCGTGGCGCCTGGCGCAGCCCGTTTAGTGACTTGTTGTGAAGGCAGACGTCTTGTGGTCGATCGGCATCGTGGAACCCATTTGGCTGTTGGCACAGAACGTACTCCTCAAGGTTGCCATGAAGAAAGGCGTTAGACACTGGAGCTGTTGCATCGGCCAGTGCTTCGACGCAGCGATGGTACGGTGAGCATCGTGCGGATTGTCACCGGCTCAACAACCGGCGTGCAGGTCTCCTAGAAGTCGATGCCAGCGCGTTGATTGAATCCGCGCACAACCCAGCAGGCCTTGTACCATTCAAGGGAGCCGTCCGGATTAAATTTGTGCTTGAACAGCCACTTCCTGGAGATGATGTGGGAACCGGCGGGTTTGTCGACAAGCTGCCAGGTTCTGTTGGCCTGGAGAGCAGAGAACTCGGCCTCCATGGCACGACGCTAGTTGGGATAGCGCAGAGCCTCACGAGCGGATGATGGAATGGGAGAGATGGCCGTGTCCACGGACATGGCATATCATGGATTTGTCTTGAACACGCCAGCGCGCGCACGAGTGACATGGGATGGCCACGGAGTGGTGGTGGTGGTACTAACGAGGCGGGTGGAGGTGAGGACTCAGGCGGAGCATGCACAGTTGTGGCCGGAGACTCTGTGGCCGATGACTGGATGACGGCTGCTGGGGAAGAGGGAGACCCAGAGATGGCGTCATTGTGCGGTGATCCTGCGACGGGTGCCACCGCGGTAACGCATCGACGTTTAGGGGCATTGTCAGTGTGAATGACAGGCTCGTCGTCCACGGCGAGAGAAGGACCGTGCATGGGCGACGTCGTGGTAGGTGATGGTGCTTGGAACGGGAAGACGGCCTCGTGGAACACAACGTGGCGAGATGTGATGATGCGACGGCTGTCGAGATCGAAGCACCGATAGCCACGATGATCACTGGGGTATCCCAAGAGAACACACGCAATGGAGCACGCACAAAGTTTGTGAGCAGCTGAGATGGCTGTAGGTGGGCGGAGCACCGAGGAGGTGCTCGAACGGCGTGACCGGCGCCGTGGCATGACATGGCCGCCTGTTAATGAGACGCGAAGTAGTGAAGAGTGCCTCGGCCCAGAAGGAGAAGGGCATGCCGACGTGGAGAAGACTACGCACACACCTATTCAGAGTGCGTATGATCTCTCTAATGGCGACCTCTTCCTCCAACTCCTCTGTCGATCACGTCTCCTTCACCGAGACCGTCGTCTAGCCTCCCATGGAAGAGTGAACAATGGAGCCAACAAACTAAATCGTGTTGATCTCTGAGAATTTGTACAGGTTACAGGCAGTGGAACTGCCAGCGCTCGAGGCGCGTCTGTCGAGTGCACGCACGATGTGGGCGACATCGTGGGTGGCTTGTGGACTCCGGCAGCGCGGGAAACCTCATCTAAGCTATTCAAAACTCAAATACAAATTAAACTTTATCACCCCCGCAGTCTGAAGTATCATCGGCATGACACAAAGACTGTCCCGAAAGGCTTCAAATGTCTAGGAGAGGTAGAAGCCGTCAGCCTTACGCGGAACGTCGATGCCGAGGAAGAAGCGTAGTTCACCCATGTCCTTGACGGCGAACTCGTTGCGCAGCTCGGTGA